CGAATTGACAGACATACACATATGAAAACCAAACAATTACAAAAACCCTACGCTAATGTTTTGAATCAATGCAAATATTTGAATCTCACAAATTTAATAAAAACAAAGCAAAATCTGAATTAAAGTAACTGGATGCAAATACACAAGTTATTACGGGCGTGTGGCGGCAGATTTAAAATTACAGTAGTCAACAAAAATACCCATAGGGCATTCTAGCACAAGCGGAGTTTGGCGCTACCGGTCGGGGCTGTTCTCCCCCCGCGACGGTGATTCTATCTATCGCAAGTCTACCCACACAGTACATCTCCATGACGAACATGACGTCTGAAACTAGGCCATTACGATCGCAGATCCGCAGTTGGGTCTCGGCTAAGAACAGAAGTCGACAGCGCTATCACATCGCGACCGCGCCTGAATCTATCCAAACCTGTACCTGTGTAAGATCTCGCCAGCTCGACTAGAAACCGCACTTCGCTTCTGCCATGTTTTCTGTGTTATTTAACTTCAATTTCATTTTAAATGTTCAATCTCTTATAACTCTGATATTAACAACAACTGAACAAGTGTTAAAGTTTCAAACGAGCAATAAACAACATTTAAGTTCGCCAATCTTGTGGAATCTTGTGGAATTTAAACAACAAATAAATCTTGTGTGAGATTAAAAGTTGACATCAGATAATTTATACGATGGAAACATTCATCAACAACATTTTATTTACAAAACAAAACAAAAGATCTGGTGTGAAATAAACTTGTGCAAATAAAAATATTATGTGAGGTTAAAACTGTAGAGCATGAAATTTACGTTCAATTAAAATTATACAACAAGGAAAATTACTGAAGTTAAAATTGTGAGATTAGAGAAATATTGTATGAGGTGAATAATTGCAAAGTTAACAAAATTTATATGAGATTCTCGTACTTGCCACACTTTATTAACGATTCAAAGAGTTTACATTATGTTAAATTATATCATGATCTAAGTGATTGGTTACTCAAAAACAATTTACTTTGAGAGTTTAGAATACCGCGAACTGGTTACTCCAACAAAATACATAATAAATAAACACAAAAATATCCAATCATTGGGAGGAAAAAGCGTCTCGGTGATGTAAATTTTAGCGTTGCGCGGAAATACCTCTAGGATGTAAATTTTAACGTTGCCAGGAAACACCTCGATGATGTAAATTTTAACGTTGCGAGGAAACGCCTCCATGATGTAATCTTTAGCGTTTGCGAGTACTTGCCTCAGTGATGTTATCAATCTCTAACGTTGCGAGGGCATGCCCCGGTGATGTAATGAATCTTTAGCGTTGCGAGGACTTGCCTCAGTAATGTTATCAATACCCCCGTCATTTCGCGGTATGAATTAGTTTAACTGTCGTAAATGAACTATTAGCAATCTTGTATGAAGAATTGTGAAGTGTTATAATGTAACACTTACGTATATGCATCCAGAAACTTATTTATAATTTGTTAAACAAAGAATTATCCTGACTATATCAATTTAATGAAATCCTCTAGCACGTGGTTTATTTAAATATTCCTGATTCCTAAATTATTCTAGAACTAGCTGACGATTAACTCCTAGCCTAAACTGTGAATTTACAACAAAAAACAAATGTACGTCACGTGGTCCGCGTTGGTCCCGAAAATTAACACTTTTCCGATTAAAAAGCCGCAAGAATTATCAGCGCGGATTGGAGAAACTGGGCGCCGTCGGTTACGATTGATTGTCGTTAAACAATGGCTTCCTCTCTTCTGTTAACTACCAAACCAGCTAATTTAAACCTAGCTACTTACAGTGTCCTTTCACCATGCATCCACTACACCGAACCGAAACATAATGGTGCATCCCCCTTTATGCCGTTAGCCGCTAGCTTGCCTAACACTACCGCCCTCTAATCAAAACATGTGGAACTACCCTAAGAAGCGCTACGTGGATATATGGTTGCCTATGTTTAACGATTTTTTGATTGAGTTATTTCTTTCAAATTCAAATTATTCAAAGGTGATTTCGCGCCGCTGTTAATTAAATTCAACGCGAAAATTTGATTCAAATTCGGTCACCATACAATCTTTCCATTTGAACGATTGCCAGCCAGCATACACCCTACCCTGCTCCAAAAATACCTCCCTAACTTTATCCGTTTAACCACCTGCTTTATCATCTCTATCTCCTTCTTACTCCTCGTCTCAATTATTAACCCACCACTTCTGTACCTCCTCACATTTTCCACTTTCACGTCTACATCCATTTTATTAACTGTCTCTCTAATCTTATCCCTATCTTCCTCAAGATCCTTAGTTTCAGCATAACAGAATACGTTTCCTTCCTTCTTGGCACTTCTTTACTATCCTGTCCAGATCTAGCACCTCCGACAACTCCAGCGTACGTCTTCCTATCCGTCGATTCCAGTTCTTTAATCGTTCCCTTCATAAAACTATTCTTAACTGCTAGCTCCAATGCTATGGTTTCCATTTTGCCCCAAAATCCCAACACCTGGTCAGTCACCCCTTGCCAACTCTACTCGACTCCAAAAATAGGCACGCCCGCAAGGACCTCTCTATTTCCTTTACTTTTTGTGTCACAGTGTCCTCCATTTTCTCTTCACGCGGCATTCTTGCCCCTTCCATCAAACCCCTCTCGTTTTCTGTATTCCCAAATCAAAATTATTCCAAGTCCTAAGAACGAAAATTTTCCCAACCAAATACAATGAGAAAAAAAAATCAAAAACAATGTTTCTTCCTGATTTATCCCGATCTCCCTCAGGAGAAGTCCCGAAGAATCCTGGAAAATTTCTCGACTCGCACACTACACCGCTTCTAACAGCGCAGAGCGCCTAAAACACAGTCAGGAATCCAGTCAAGTTGCGCCGGAACTATTTTGTACATAATCGCTGTGTAGTTAGTCGTGTAAATTTGAGTTACTGAGAAATAGTTTCTTGAGTTTTTTCCACACCGATTTTAAATACTCGTTCAACCTAACTCTGGTGTCTGAAGTGAGATTTGAGATTAATAACTGATTTTACGACGACTTCCGGGCAGATTGGAGAAAAACTGAAGAATAAAGTTAGAGTGGCAGAACTAGAGACGGAAGAAACGGACAAGTTAGAAAAGCTGTTGGAAAAATTCTCACATCAATTAGGAAATGGTCTAGCTCAAGAACGAGAGAACGGTGCCCCTCTTATGAAAAACATGGCGTGTTATAGATGTGGGTACCAGGGATATCTCAAACGCGATTGTCGTACTCGATCACCAGCTCCAAGGAGAGGCACACAACACAAATCTTCTCGACGAAATGTGCAGGAAAACTAAAAACAGCCAGAACTTTGGGAGATGAGTGAAAACAGGCAGTTTCACCAACTATACCGAGGAAGATTAACGGGACTTGCGTGGCAATCACGATCGATACTGGCGCTGAAGTCTCAATTTTACTAAAGTCACTAGATTACTAGTAATCTAGTGACTTTAAATTTTACGTAAAGAACTCATGAGAGCTAAAGATTTAAGAACTATGCCCGAAACAATCAGATTGTAAACCGTCACTGGAGAGTCGACGCCAATCATGGGTGCAGCAGAGGTAGAAATCTGCATTAGTCAACTGAACATAAAACAGCGGGCTCTCGTAGCTAATACTGAAGACGACTTTATTTTGGAAATGGATTTGAATAGCTGCCATAGATTGACGGTCGATCCAGCGGAGAAAGTCCTACGTCTTGGCAATGAAGAGTTTATACTGAATCAGGGCCTATAAGACTGATGACTACCAGAATATGAAAGCTAGAGGGAATGCAGCAACGATTGTTCCAGTCAGAGCAGAAGTCAAACCCGTGTGACAAGCAGTCACTAAATTCTTTCACGAGAAAATCGTAACAAAAACACGAATAACAAATCCCCAGAACATAACAACAAAATCCGAAAATTTGCAAATCTTACGTATTTAACACGCATGTCCTAATCTGCATCTAGTACCATTCAAACAGATAATCAAACTCAACAAAGAACGCAGGAACAAAATTTACATATTCGCAAATTGCAAATATCATTGCGCTTGTCAGACATTGCAAAAAACATGTGCAGAACCATACACCACAAAAATCGCCAATCGCAATTACTTCATTCGAAATTGTATCCAAACTAAAACAGCTGCAGACGAAACGCAGACGCATAAAAAAATATCAAAAACGCCGGCTTCAGGAACAGATGCAACAGGCTGACAACATGTGTATCGACATGGGAACCATGACGCAAGTTGAAAAAAAACCGATGATTTACTACACAGTAACAACGCCAGAAATAAAACCATAGCAAACCTTATAAAACACCGAAATAAGACCTAAAGTCGCGTTCCAAGTAACACATAAATCACAAAGAATTATGGCTTACTAACGTCGCAGAATACAAGATTAATGGGTAAAAATCCCTATAAAAGCAGTAGCACCGGAAGTGATATTCATTCAAGTTCCGAGTTGCAGTCGAAGACTATGTCTATTTTCGCACCGAGTTTTTTTTACTATTTTTGCTGAATTTTGAAGAAATCCGAACTTGGAAAAATTTGCTGAGACCGTGAAGAAGATAGAAAATTCTCGATGCTGCATCTGGGTAAGTCTGCCTTTCAGTCATGTTTAATTTATCTTGCTTTCATTTTTCCATAATGTGTGCTCGAGTTCGGTCGTTTCCTAATTTTCGATGTCCGATAAGGCATTGCAGTTCACAGTAGGTTGTACCTTGATTTCCCTAGTTTAGTTATGGCGAGTTAACATCCTTTCCATAAGATCCCTAGAAAAGACCTAGAGAGTAAATGGATCAATAGGCCGTACGTAATGTCTTGACAGTTCTTCTTCTATTGAAAAGTATGATCTAGGTCACTGGCCATACTATAAAGATATCCATTTCGCAATCAGCTTCATGGAACATGTTACTTTATCAGTGGACATTCGAAAATGTGGTACCAGTAAAAATAAAGATATATTTCTTTTTTAAAATTCAAACGCCAATAACAGTAACATACTTTTATTTACAAATTTTACCATCTCATATTGCATTTCAATGAATATAAAAGCTATTTTACTAGATATCCTACATTCAGTGTTATTCGGTTAGAATCAAAAGTTACAATAAAAGGTATTAAAATTATGTACTTCAGGCGTATCGCTTGCTAATATAATTATTGCTATTTTTACACAAAATATTAAATAATACTCCTATTTATTAATCTTTGAGATCTTGATCAGTATCCTGCATCTTTTGGATTAACTGTTTTGTGAATAGATTTTTAAAGAATTAACGGTAAATGTCATAACCGGTCCCCGTATCTCTTTGCACGAATTCACTCGTCAAGGATTTATCGTCCCTATCTGTTAAATTGTGATATCCTAGTTCATGATATCGTACAGGGTAGGTCAACTGATTTCCTTTGTCCCAAGTATATAATTCCTTAAATATATCATTATGAACTGGTTAAAAAAATAATAATGTGAGGTTTTACCTTATTTCTGTGATTGTATCCAATCATTGTAGTTTTTCTAAATGGATTTGAAAATGCAAGATTAACATCTAGAAGTTTTTCATTGTAGAGATCTAAAGCAAATCGAATTTTTGTGTTTCTATCTGTTACGCTATCTACAGCATATAAAACTCCACATACAATAAACATTTCTCCTACTCTGTGGTGATTTATGCTTACATTCCATATGTAGTTGTATTTCATCATGTTGGCATCAACCTAAAACCAGGTGTTTGAGTTATAAAATATTAGTAAATTATAATGACTAAGTATAATACTAATACTAAGATTCCAATCATCAGTCAAATATTTACCTTCATCACAGCAGTGTTATTGGACTCCGGTACAGGAAATATAACCCATAATCCATTGTCATCCACGCTAAAGTCCATATAATTGTATTGGCCACTATACAGATTTGAAACGTTGCTCAAGTATGGAAAAGGAAGTGATAAATTATATGAATTATTATTGACCAAATTGAATTTTATAATTTTATTAGTTGATTTAGCATGATAAAAAAAGGACCCATTGTAAATCACGTGGGCATTGCCTTGGAATGGGTAACTCAAAGTGTACGTTCTAAAATTTAGCAAACATGTATGAAACTAAAAATACTTCACAGAGTGATATACTTTGATGGACTGTTTCTTCTAAACATGGTTTTATTATCAAACTGATATAAGTGTTTTGAATCGTCATCTTGCGTAACCCAGATTTTTTCAGAATCTTTTTCTACGTGTGGACTTGAATCTCGCATCCAACACCCGTTGTTATGATCTGTGTAACGGTGATAAACTGGCTTACCAACGGCGTATAAAACACAATCTGCAAACAAGACAAGATAAATTGTTTTATTTTAAAAATAATAAATAATTTTTGAGGATATAGACGACATTTTTTGTTGAGGGCATAGTATACTTGATAATGATAATAAAACATTTATTAAAAAAATTAAAATGTCACTAAAATATTGTTATATTTCCTTCTGGCGCCCGAGCACCACCGCTCCCGACCAAAGGCGCCACCCCCGGTGGCGTGAAGGTGACCTTATAGCCTAGACAGTCTACACATGATCGTCAACTTGAGGATGTTTGTGAACTGCACTCTATTTTAAACTCACTTGTTGTTCTGTTGAGGTAATCTGCGTCGTATTTTATGTTTCCAAATTTTCTAATATTCCAACGACTAATGAGATCAATGAGTGACACCCCACTCGCGCTGCAAGTTTCGCATTCAGGGCAATGAACAGGTGGTCCGCACAGGTCTTCTTCTGAAACCTGTTCAGGAGGTAGATTACCATAGATACTTGTTTTTTTATCACCGAACTGTTGCCTTGGTCGTCCAAGCTGTTGTTCTAAAATATAAAACAAAACAAGTGTAATACAAGACTTAAAAACCCCCGACAAAAAAAAAATACGATGCAACGCACTGCGTGGTCTATCCAGACGCAGCCTATTCAAAACAGAACAATTTTCTTACAAACCTATTATCGTAAGAAACTTGTCTGGCAAAAATTATGTTAAGGGCGTACCTTGGATTTGAAGCTCGCCTCTGATTGTCTTCAGTTCATTTTTACTAACACAATAATATTTGTATACCATATCACTTGGATGTACTCGTGTAATATTCAACTGCATTCTTGCTTTATACAAATCTCTGTCGAGTGAATTATCTATTTGATATTTATTTCCGTTTTCCAAAAGGCGACCATCGGAACGTTCCCAATATCTGAAATAAATATTGCGTGTAACAAATGTTTATTCTCAGAACCAAAGTACCTGATAGAGTCAGGAAAAGCTTCAGTTTCACATTCAAGAACGGCGGAAGATCCAGTAGTTACCTCAACCACTTGGTTGTAAATACGGATGAGTGGCGGAACTACATTACAAAAGATTGGCTAATTTAAGAAGTATTTACAATAACGAACAGTTAAAGAACAGAGTATTCGTAATATTTGTGTAGAATAACGAGAGTTTTTAAGCTAAACGGACAATTTGAGACACATGTATTAATTATATAGGTACTTAAAGCAGATAATAATCAAGGAGAAAAAATGTATTTATTATATTGGTACAACTTGGCCTCTTTTTAAAGCCATACATCCCTCTGGATGGATCACGAACGCCGCTTCGAGGTTTTTCTGGACGCTGCAATCGAGACTTCCGGTCACCCGGTTCAGGTTTGTCTTTATGCGAACGTCACCCGACCGGCGTCACCGATGATGAGTCACCCATCATCGCCGCACATACTAGAAAAACCTCGATAAACCCATAGGCGTCGTACCGGGGCCGCGTATGGGTTTATTTCGTAACAATATTTATTTGACTTCGATTGTCTATGTTTATACATCGGAAGAATGTCACGTTTATCACGTAGCAATTTCCAAATGAATTTGTCTCTTCAGAACTAAAGGACGAAAATTGTTCATTAAATTACAATGGAACAAAATGTTCTGATATTGTTGTTATAATTATAATTCTTATTTTATCATTATTAAATAATGATGGGAGTATTCTCACAAACAATCAATTAGAGAGTGAATTTCTCATACTCTCTCACGAAAAAGGAGAATAAAATACAGAAAGAAACTCTCTGTAACGGAAGCAGGATAAATAAGTAGATCATTTGTCGTTATTTTTAACTCCTTTTGAGAATTATACTAATTTATTACTTACAGTATACTTCCAAATTAAAGGTCTGGCTTGCTTGAGGAGGAATGCCGTTGTCAGCAACACACTTGTATTGTCCCATATGAACTCTATTAACTCTAGTAACGTTTAATGTGTGTCCTGCAACGCCTGTATCTATAAAAAGAATAAATTTAGTTGGTGACTATTTTACAGGGTCTTCCAAAATTACCACAGAAAAAAAGTAGAGCAAGACTGAATGCGTCAATATTAACAATAACTTTAAATAAAATTAAAAGAGTATTCTCCGTAATTACCCTGTATGTATAAGTCTATATATACATACCTACATATATATTTTACAATTGACTGGGCAAAGGTTATATAAAGTTTTTCTTTTAATACCATTTTTTTACCACATAATCAGAATCCAAGAAACACATAACTATTTACTTGTTAGTAGGCAATAAAAGTTCTACACTGTTTAACTGAAATGTATCAAGGTAGGTACTTTAAAGTTTTACATATTTTTTTTTCCATGTAAAAGACGCGTTAAAATTAAAAAACGTTCAATCTGCCTCTGGATACATTATACAAGTTATCCTCATTAAAAATAACACACCTTGCCAGGCTCCCCTGCTAATCGGTCGTTTTCCCAACTTTAGCCAGGTCACGTGAGGATTTGGATTACCTATTGCTGAACAGTGTAGTCGAATGTTTTCTCCCTCATGCACTACAACTGGTCCCATAGGATTCATCTGAGCCCCTAAAATAAATCGTTTACCAGTTAAAATAAGGAAATAAAGTGATTTCAAGCTATAAAAAGGTATGGGGATGTCACCACCACGCAGCACCGTCCTCTACCACTCAGTGTAAATCCATATCGTGATCACATTTTTATGTCAGGGAATGAAATGCATGGAAAGTGTACATCAAGCCGAGATTTTACTTTTTCTGAGGTTATTCCTCAAAGCGCTGCGTTATATTAATCGTTTTGCCTAGAAGTAAGGTTGTTAAATTTATGAAAACTTTGTTTTTAGCTCTAAAACTTTTAATATTTGAATGAATATAGATATAAACATCAGTATTGTAATGTAGAGAAATTAAAATTTTGTTGAATGCCATTTGCATAATGCTTCAGTGATTTATGCTTTGTGGTATTTTCAACAAAGGATTTTAAATGAAAATCGGGATTATACAGGATTTTGCGGGCTTTCCTGCTTGCTTTCAGCTTACACCCTTGATTGTAAAAACACAATATTCAAGCCAAATAAAAAAAGTTAACGTTTGCTTGCGCAAAGATGTGTCGGTGTTGATTAACTTTGTTGCACGAAAAATCTTCCTAATATAAATCCTACGAAAGAAAATGTTTTTGGAACTTCATTCAGGACTACCAGAAAACACAATAAATTCTATTCCGAATCATTTCATTAAATTAAGCTGTGTCGATAATAACACAAATTTGGATTTTTAACACTGTTGTAAAAAATACGCAATGGTAACGTGGTAACGACATATAATGAACACAAATTGTCTAGTACGCATCAGCATACTTGCACACTCAAAAATGCTGAATATCCATCTATATTCATCTATAACTAAAAAATAAAAAAAGTTTTTTTAGATTTATTTATCAGTCAACACAACACTTGCGACGAGTTTTCGGTGTCGCAAATTCTTACACGATATCGCCAAAACTAATTGTCTGAAATACTTGTTTTTCGATGCACAAAACAGCAATTATTCAGTTTTTCGTTTGCAGAAAATTCTTAATACTTCATATTGTCGCAAAATTGCGTCCAATATCAAAGACAAATTCTTAATGCTATAGGTAAATTTGGGATAATAGCCTATAGATTTTTAGTAAAAATTAAATTCACTATCCGTATTTGGATATTTTCTTTATTGCGTTTAATACATTGTCAGACAAAAATACTCGGACACTTGACTTTTTTGTAATTACTTGCATGTGGTGGAACTTTTGTAAAAAATATTCCAAAATGCAAATCATTAATGTATTTATTTATTTTTTATTTTATTCTACTATTATTAAAAATAAATTCACAGTTCTTGTCAGGATTTTAATCGTTAACTGGTTCTAACACAATTTAAGAGTCATAAGATTGTTCAGATAAAGCACTTGCTAGGAGATTTCATGAGATTCACTTAGTCAGGACTCATCCTTTGTCTAAAATATTATGAATAAGGTTTCTGGATGCGTATACTTAAGTGTTACATTATAACACTTCTTAACTCCTTATACAAGATTGCTAATAGTTCATTTACGGCGGTTAAATCAACCTAACTTTGTCCCACTTTAGGAAAACGAACGTGCAAAGTGCGGTAGAATTTATAATATCATGGACTGAGGTATGGGGGGGATTAAATTTTTCCCCTTAGGCGTTTATCATAGTTATTATCATCACATCATCAAGACACTTTTTTCGCAAGGTTGAAAATTACATGTTTATTTTACCATGTGTTTGTTTGTGATAAGTTGGGGACAGTGCACGATATAAACACTCAAAGTTAATTGTTTTAAGTAACTAATCACTTCATAATGGCATAATTTAACATCAGGTAAATTATTTGTTTGAATCGTTGATAAAGTGTGGCAAATGTTAAACTCGTGTAATTTTGTTAGCTTTGGAATTTTTCACCTCATGCAATTTTTCTCTATCTCACAATTTAGCTTCAGTAATTTTCTTTGCTGTATAATTTAAATTGAACGTAAACGCAGTTTCTAACCTCACGTAATTTTTTTGTCTGCACAAGTTTTATTTTACACCAGATCTTTTTGTTTTTATAAATCTTGGCTAGTTTTTTTTGTTTTGTAAATATTTTGTTGCTTAATGCTTCCATCATATAAATTGTCTAATGTCCAGATTAATCTCAGATGAGAATTCTTTGCTGTTTAAAAATTTCACGAGAGTGTTTGGCGAATTCAAATGTTGTGTATTGCTCTTTTTGAAACTTTAACACTTGTTCGGTTGTAGTTTAATATCAGAGTCATAGAAATTAAATATTTAAAATGGGATTGAGGTAAATAACATAGAAATATGTGGCAGAATCGGAGTGCGCGGTTCCTTGTCGAGCTGGCGGTCGCGTCATCTGCACAAAGCACGCAGATTTATTATAGAAGTCAGGGGAACGGTCAGGATGACGTGACGCTCACGGCTTGGCCCAATAGCCAGCACGTTCTTTCTTGATAGAGGGGTGCTGGACGGCAGTGTTTGCCTATAGAATAGAATCACCGTCGTGGGGGGAGAACAGCCACAACCAGGAGCCCTAAACTCCGCTCGTGCTACAACGCCCCCTATGGGTAAGTTTGCTGTGTTCTAGAATGAAATTGACATAGTTGGATCGCCACACTCTTATAGCGCTCTGATGTCGCTGTCGCTGGGCTACATAGAGTTTTTTTTATTAGAATTTTGTTCTCTTGTTGACTGCCATAATTTAAATTTGCCGCCACACGCCAGTAATAACGTATACATTTGCATCCAGTTACTTTAATTCAGATTTTTCTTTGATTTTATTAAGTTTGTGATGTTCAAATATTTGCATTGATTTAGAACGCTTAATTTGATTTCATTCAAAGTTAGGCAAGTTTTGTTTTGTAGTTGAGCATTAAGATGTGTCTTCAACCGGCAAAATTTGCCCCCAAAATTCAAATAGTGCCAAAATTTTGTGGGTATGCCAACATAGGCTGGTTTCCCAAAAAAATCACCCTGTTTTCCGTTAAACCTAAAGTTGTAATAGCACTACTTCAAATTTCACTAAATCTTAGCTATTACAATTCATTTGTCTAATGAAGATACACTGCGTGATAAAACGTGTTAGTAGTCTAATTACAAATAAACATGTTTTGAACTGATTTGTGTTCAGTTTGAAGGTTAATAACAATTTCATTAAATGGAGATTTGCGTATAATTTATCGATGATAAAGCAAATGATTTAACTAATATGTAGTATTAGGCTTACCAGCTATGGAAGGTGGTATTAATAATTCGGACACATTTTTACCATTTATTTGGTAAAATGTACCGCCAGGTTTCCCAGGATCTCCATCTCTACCGTGTCTTCCTGGTTTACCTTTGGGCCCAGTAAGTCCTGGAAATGGTCAATGTGTTAATGAAAAAATTAACACACATATTAGGGTCATAAATAACTCATAATCAAGAGAAACATGAATTTTAGTTGTCGTCCCCAAAAATTGATCTAAGGTTATTTAGACAAGACTTTCCTCGTCCTTGAACTACAGGTGAACAAATAGAGATTCTTCGAAAAAATAAAAAACGCAGCCGAAATAGGGGATTCTCTCTCGAAATCTTCGCCGAAAAAAAAGTGGCTCGCCTCTGTTTTACGATTGTGGAGGAGTTTTTTGAAAGTTTCTCTTTGGAAGTGAAAATCGACTACCGTAAGTACCGCTTTGGGTTTTCTGCCGTACAGTCGTCACCGTTTTTTTCTACACCGCAAGAAACCGAAACCGGGTCGCCGCCTCCAGGACCAGGAGGAGCCCATCCCGAAGGAACTCGTTGTCCAGGAGGAAACGACCGTGCCGGACGTTTAATTCTCTTTTTTTTGTAAAATCATTTTATAGTTGTTTAAAACTTTCCGCCATTTTATTACTTGGTTCCGCGGGTGCTCACCAGACCACCTGGAGATCCGTGTCTCCGGCTTTAGAGCAATCCCGGTGCTCCCTCCCTGAAGAGGGAGGTGACGCCCGAGCACCGCCGCTCCCGACCGAAGGCGCCACCCCCGGTGGCGTGAAGGTGATCGCATAAACCTAGGTCGGCCAGACGTGTTTCTGTTCAGCCGCACTAGTCGGCCCGAGGCACGCCACCCCCGCGCGTTATCGGCGAAATTTTAGACCGTCACCGTCCGTTACCGGAATTACGTCGCAACGGTATACAGATAGATGGAAATGGAAGACCTATTTGTTCATACTTTAGTGGTCATGAAAGGACGAGAAAACAAAAAAGTTAGATGGACAATACTGCCTCAGGCGTTTATTGACTTCCACTAATTTTTATGAAGGCTTAACAAAAGATCATCAGTTGCAATCGAGATGGCTGGGATAGGGTTTCTCGAGATGGACCGTAATGAAAATTTTACTGCTATCTGTATTACTCAAGATAGAGGTCGGGGTAAGTAGACAAGTTTACAACGGTGGGTGGTAGACGCCTGAGGCAGACACCGCGCAAGAGTTCTGGTTAAAGTATACTATGTCTATTTAATCATTATTATATTTATTTAATTGGTGTTATTATATTTAATGTTTCTTATACTTAGTTCACGAATAGGATTGTTCCACGTCCCAGCTGTGATCATATTTTATAATACACATAATGATTAATAGTTTATTTTGCATATTGCTGTGAAACTAGGCTTTTGATGCTAGCCGTTTGTGTTGTTTTAATAGTTATTTGCATGATCATAATTTACCTTTTGGTCCAAGGGGTCCTGGAGGACCTTGTGGTCCTGGTAGTCCAGGTCTGCCTAGAAATAAGAACACAAAATTATCGATAAATTATTATTTATATTATTTTAAACGTATAGTATTATATGTATCGTTCCACTGTTAATCTAATTTTTATGATTGTTCCTATATTCTACTGTTGCCTTCATTTCTAAAGATTGTATAAAATTACGCACATAAAGTGGTCTGACAGATAACACAAACATTTTTTGTGTTAAGTAAATGATTAATTAATTAATATACAAATTTAATTACAAAATTAATTTAACCCACCGTCAGTACCGTTGCGCCCATCTTTACCAGAAAGACCTGGTTTTCCGTTTACACCTGGAACCCCATCATATCCGTTTCGTCCTGGCATACCATCTAAACCCGGTTCGCCTGGTATTCCATCTCGACCGTCTAAACCAGGCCGTCCTTGTGAACCCTTTTCCCCGGGCAGACCCGGTAATCCTATAAAAACATTTAAAATTCATAATTATTAGTTACCGAGGTCGTTACAATACATATGAACAAACAGACCCCGATGACCCATTTGGCCCGGAACACCAGGAAATCCTTTATCTCCTCGCTCTCCTTTGGGACCTTGAGATCCCGGGGGACCAACTGGTCCTGGTTGTCCCGGCGGACAAAATTGATGAACTTTTTTACAGTAGCCCTCGAGCGCTTTTTCCTGCAACATTTAACATACACACAAATACAAAATTAAAAAAAAAAGGAAACATTATATTGCTAGAAGTAAATATAACGGACTTCAGAAAATATATAATCTGTTTATAAATATAAAAATATATGGGTTTTTGGAACACCTGTAACTATACCAGGTGAGTCAATAAATGGCGCTTGTCATTATCTCATTAAATATTAGAAACAGAAAAAATGATGGTTTTTTGAACTCCATAACTTAAAATTCTCTATAAAAAACGAAAATCTAAAAACTAATGCTCCTACTTGTAAATAAATCACACTCGAAATCACATGACTCTCATGTCAGATTCCGACTTGGGAATTGGTATCCGACGAGTTAACGGAAACTTGTTTTTTTTTTTATTTTTTTGCTCAGTTCTTTGCGAATTCCTTTAGTTTACGCTTTCTTAATATGCGTTTATATTTAGTTGTCCTTTTTGAACTTTTAATCTCTGGTTCCACCAGAAGCTCTCTCTTTGATGATGATCCGAGATTTTTCGAGAGATTTTTATTTTGTTTTTTATTTTTTTTAAGATCCATTCCCCGAACCTTCAACACCCGGTCAGTGGAGACGCGGGAAAATTTGTCGGAGATGATTTCCCTAATATCATTTTTTCCATTATTTGGCATTGCACGTTAGTTTTTTGTATTTTCTTGCTCCATAGGTATTGAACAACATTCAGCTCTGTTTGTATTTTATTACATTAGCATCTTTATTCGCTCTCTTAAGTCCTATTTGAGTAAAAATTCAAATTTCTATAATTTAAAATTCAAAGCATCCTAAAGGTTTAGAGCTTCTTTTTCATGTAAATCTGTAAGAAACGCACGTATTTACTTTTTTTGTAAAGCAAAAGATTAATCTGAATAACTGTCGGTATTGTTATTATAGCGGGCGCATTTAATAACATGTTTTTTAAACATCAATCGTATTATACGCTATCATTTATTCTAACTACGAGAACGCTTTTATGCTTGTTAAAACTGGGTAAATTGAGTTATTGAGGTGCCATACTTTTGTATACTGAAAAAAATATAGACAAAAGATTCATTATTCATAATGCATTGCATTTATATCTCCCAGTAATACACTCAGGCACAACTCCAAAAATACCTCGATGTTGCCAGGAGGAGTGGGAATGGTTGGTGACAATTATGTAGACAAGAGAAGAAAAGGGCTCATCGGAGACGCACATTTTTAGCAAAATTAGAACAAGAACATCGTACAAAAGAAGATAAGATAAATTTTAACCAAATTGCATGTTATTGAAAACCATGGTCCGTTATCAGTTTTCGAGATTATTTTTTATGTTGTCAAAATATACCTATAAAATTTAATTTTCAATTTCACATGAGTTAGTCGTGTGACCAGCCGTCACTGAAGTCGTTCACGAGAAAATCGTAACAAAAAGACGAATAACAAATCCCCAAAATATAACAACAAAATTTGAAAATTTGCAAATTTTAATTACTTAACAGGCATGTCCTAATCTGCATATAGTACCATTCAAACAGATAATCAAACTCGACCACCAATTATCGAACGTAAGAACAAAATTCGCACATTCGCAAATTGCAAATATCAATGCGCTTGTTAGACATTGCAAACAATATGCGCAGAACCGTACACCATAAAAATCGCCAATCGCAATTACTTTCATCCGAATTCGTACCCAAATTAAAACAGCTGCAGACGAAACGCAGACAACAGTAATCGCATAAAAAACGTCAGAAACGAAACCATATTCAAACGGAATTAAACCCTATAAAACAGCGAAATAAGACCTAAAGTCGCGTTCCGTGTAACACATAAATTAAAAAGAAATATGGCTAACTAACGTCGCGGGAGACAAGATAAATGGGTAAAAATCCCTATAAAAGTAGTAGCGCAGGAAGCGATTTCAATTCAAGTTCCGAGTTACAGTGGGACACTATGTCCGTTTCCCGACCAAGTTTTTACTATTTTTGGCTGAATTTTGAAGAAATCCGAACTTTGAAAAATTTGTTTAGTTTAGTCTCATGTTTTATTTTGCCATTCTCTTTCATTATGCTTGTAGTTTTATCTTTCAATATATGTATTAAAATGTTACGAGCGTTTAATTATTACTTCTTCCCCCACATGCAGTTTAGCTGTTCCATTTCCAAGGAAATAATTTTGTTAGTGTCCAAATGCTTGCCCGCGGTCAAAAACAATCTGGGCACGACAGTCCGGTATATTTTTTTATTTACAACTTAGATTATTTGCTTAATCTGGCATTAAAATCTCCGACATTTTGATTTCCAAAAATGTTTATATTACAAAGGTTACCATGTGTATGTGTTGGGCTAGACATTTTTCACATTTTAACGCGTATTTATTAGCTTCACTTGTATGTACTGGAATCTTTCAATAAAATTTTCACCTACTTTTAGCCGTCCGAATTATTTCATCGATTTTATAACAGTTTCGTGTTCTAATACAACAAAGTTAAACTGTTGATGCCAATTTTTTAAGGTGTGAGATTGGTGTGAGCGGTGTGCGGTGCATTTGGATAGCAAAAAGGCAAAGTTAAGGAGGCTTTTCAGACTTTTGCGTTTTGGGATCGGTGAGTTCTTGATTGTTTTTTCTCACCTAAACCTGGTTTTGTCAAGAATTGATTTAACCTCTGTTTCTATTGTGGTTTTAATATCAAAACCAAATCGGACGTTTTAAATGCAATTGATCCTTTAAATACATCTTTAAACATTGGTAGAGTAAAATCTTTTAAGGATGGAGGTCTGTTGGTTTGGTGTGATAATACTAAGATGTTTAGACAAATTGCTAAAGGCAAATTTGCCCAGGATTACGAAATTCGGAAAGTTAGAAATCTGAGAACAACTATCAGGATAGCCGTTTTTTCTGATGACGTAGATGAGGAGAGCTTTTTGAAAATATACCTTTAACGGTAATTCCGAAATTAAGTTGTTAAAGTTTAGTAAAACAAAAAAAAGATAATACTGTATATCAAGCTTTATTGGAGGTTGACTTAACCACATACAAAAGAGTGTTAATTGATGGCTGCACTATTTACGATGCGGTAGAGGTTACTAGATGTTATAATTGTAATTACTTTAGCTGTTGCTACTTACTCAGTTTGTTCACTTGGTTTACAATTGGGTTTTATGCCTGTTGACCAATGTCAAATAATGGTAATAATAATATAAATAATAATTCTTGATGTTTCTAGCAAATGTAAGTAAAAAGTTATATATGGTTGTATCCTTACAAAATCAGTTCTGGTCTCTTTTAAGCTGCCATAGATTTATAAATAAAAGGTTCAACCATTAACTTGTGGCGGCACAATCACAAGTTGGTAGGCGAGGTAAGATAAGCAGCCCGCGTAGTCTAGTGGTAAACCCGCCCGGCAAGTGGGAGACGTCGGGTTCGGTTCCCACTGCCGCTGTACATTTTTTGCTTCGCTTACCACAAACCATAATATATTACTTGTACAGGAATCGTATCAAAATACAAGGGTTTATTCCTGATTTTGTACTTTCTTTCACTGATGATGGAAATTTCTGCGGGAATTTTACATATTTATTAATTTTTCCGATTGATGTTTCGCTTATTTAAAAACGTTGTAACACTAATAAATGCTCTATGTTGCTGTAGCTTCGCTCGAGCGATCCAACACTTCCAACCCATTTTTAGGAATTTCTACTTTCCTCATGACTTTTTTCACCCCTTTGTGCCCAGCCACAGTATTAGAATTAATTATTATTAATGCAGGTTCCGGACTTTTTAATATCCATTTAATTATGTTCGTGTCACGGTTGCGTTTCCACTTGCCGTCCGACCAATGATTACTTATTTTTTGATGTTTTACGGTCTGTTAAAAGTTTTTTTTTTTAATTTACAATGCGAAGTTCGCACGACTCCAGTGGCAGGGTCGCCATTTAATATTTAATTCTTGTTTTCTACCCCATTTTGATGTCCATATTTGAAACAGTGCATAGTAAAATTTAAAGTTGAGTTTAATCATTGATGAGAGAGCGAACTATTGAAAGCTAATAAAGTTTGTGTGATCCTTTGTGCATGCCTTTTGCAACCTAGATTTTAAATTTGTTCTTGAAACACATTAACAGCGAAGTGCACATTTATTTAACAATTATTATTATTTCGTTGAAATTTTGATGGTAATTTAAAATATTTATAAATTAACCAGATATTAGCATAGTGTAACCATCCAGTGTATAGTCTATATTTTTTCAACTAATGCTGTGGAAAAGAACACAGTTTGAATATACCTTCTTGTTTAAGCAATAAAGTGCTTGATTTACGACCAATTGAACACATTAATGCATAAGTGCGTAATTACTTTATAAAGTATCCGACGTCGACAACAGCTTGAATTCTGAAGCAGTTAAGTCTGTACCTCAAAGAGACCCGACATTATGCCAAGACGTAATAAGTATTTGTTAACTCAAGTTGACATTATTTGACTGTCTCAGCTGCTACATAATTTATTTTACTGCTTTGCCTAATTAATTAATTAAAGTTCGTGTGGCCATTACTAACTGGCGAATGTAAAGTTGATTCTCGGAATAGAATAGCGTTTTCTAACAATGTAAACGAGGTTAAACAAAACGCTGTAAATTTCGTTATTATCCAACTATGTATATATTCAAGGACGAACAGCTGCTTAGGGTCCAAACCTCCATTACGTCATTTTATCTGATCAAAAATAATTAATAAAAAATAAAAGGCAACTTCTTTGGTGTTCAGTGTGAGTTTTGAACTGCTGTAAGTCAAAAGTAAAATGTTGTACATTTTGAATTATATTATATTATACAGGGTGACTTCGAAATATATGCGATAATTTTAACCACGTCATGACGTAACGTAGTAGCATTGTTTAAGTATATTATATACTTAAACAATGGTAGTAGTGTGAAAATATGGAAAAAACAAATTAAAAATCGAATCAACTTTGTAAACAGAGGTGGAAAAACGTTCGAAGAAAAACGATATAAACACTTTCAGTTTCAATTAAAAGTAAAACTGACTTTTTGCTGCTTATCATTCGTTCATTCATGCATTCATTCATCGTTAAAGGTCAGTGTGAACTAATAATTATTGCATTATATTTGTAGTTGATGTATATTATTATTTATAACTGGAGAAATCCGTGACATTAAAGTGTAAACTATAAACTGTGTCCTGGTTAAACACCTCAGTTTGTAGCAAACAGGAATTGCCGCATCGCTGCAAATTCTCATTTTTCCTTGTTTGGAATGTTATTAATAGTGCACTAACTATGGTAGTTTTTCACGTTATTCTTCTGTGTTTATATAAGAATCGTGATTAACGATGCAATGTTATTATCGTACCCGTGACCGTTAACGTACTGAGGACAAGAACGGGCCTCGCGAAATTGGGGATAAAATTTTGCTGGAATTGGAAGGGAAACGATTTTTTTACGCAAAAGATTCGATGAAATGAATACGAACAAAAAACGATTTATACACAGGTTGTTCAAGATAAAATTCCGCGACTTCATATTTTGAAAACGGACAGAGATAATAAAATAGTGTACGCCGCTGTTTTTATCATGAAGGGGAAGCTTAATTAATTAATTTAGTATATTGCAAATAGTATATATCGCGTATTGTGTTAAATTGCAACGCAACAATTTCCGCATCGAATGACTTAATTGACGAGTTAGTGAGGAATGCTAAATGGTATAGTACTTGTAAACAGATGCGCCCACCAACGATAAGTCTATCAGTATATCGTTCGACCTGTGCATTTTTAATTAGACGCAAGGAAACGACGACTGCGACGCCGCTCTGTCTCCAATGTTCTCGGGGCGCACCGGGTTGCTGAAAAAAATAATTTTATTAATTGATCTAATATTATTTTTTATTAATTTTATCATTTTTAGAAAAGCTGGATTTATTGTACTTTAGGGCGAGAGGACTTCGTAAAAAAATTATTAAAATTATGTCATATTAAATGTTGGCAGGAGCGCGTAATAAAATTTTATCATTACATAGTTTCACATTCACCGAAATTCAAGTTTCGATTACGAACAATGTTAAAACAAAAGTCTATGGTAAAAACTTGAAAATTAACGTTATTTTTTTTTCACTCAGTAAGTAATTTTCTGCAAACTTTTGAATAATAAATTATGGAGTTATGTTCGGTTTGTGCCATTCCATAAATCTCTCAATGAGTTCATTCACAATCCACTGCAAAATTCACATCACTCCATTAACTTCATTGTTCTTTACGGCCTTTAGTCGATGCATATCTGTCATTAAATATATTAAATCCGTGATCAATTTTGCTAAAATTTTACTGAAATGGACGTTTCTTAAAAGCGAAATAATATAAAATGACACTAAATTTAATTGTAACACTGTATATCTACCCCTTACTAATAATTCTAATTAGTGGAATCAATATACAGTTTTTAGAAATAATTTTAATCAAATAAACAATAACTATATTTTTTACAAATGTTTACAATAAATATTAATATTAATCGTACATTTTGTATTTGCAATTATTTTATCTGTTCACACCTGGATAAGTTCGAATAGGCAACACATTTTACTTTCCATAAACGACTTCGTCTTCTTTTTTTTATAAATATTAAATAACGTGTAGATGGCAATGATTGCGCCAAAATTAAGATGATAAATTGATTTTAATAGTCAAATTATTTTCAAATTTTGGTAACGTGCTTTCGAATTCCGAAAAAAACCGATATGTTTTTAATTTTCGGAAAGTGTGATGAAAATTTCGATGCTGCCGTTCGTCTACACGCCAGGCGATACAATTCCTTCTAACCAAATATTCAGAAAACTCGAAAAAATTAAGAGAAGTTGATCAAATTAAACTAAAATTAGACGTCCTACAGTAATAATGTCAGAAAATCAAGCTGCCCTGATTGACATTATATAAGATAATCCTCATGTGAGTTAACGGCAGATCACAAGTCAAATGCAGATTAGTCAGAGTTCGGTTTTTAACATCCTGAGGGCAAACCGATTTCACCAATGCGCGGAAAGGATCATGGTGTCGTACAGATTATTCATATTCATATAACATCCGAGATTCTAATTAGACTACGTATCATTTTGAACGCAGTTAGCGCTTGTGAAGAAGGATAAGGTGGAGAGTTTGAGTACTTATTATAGGATTAATTTAGAGGTTATCTAACGACTGCAAAATCCATGTAAAAACAGTTAGGTTAGGAATACACAAATTATAATGACGAATAGCGCTGAAGAAGGGTGAAAGATTGGCCGAAACATGTATGCTATAATATAAATATAACTTTAATGAAAAGTGAAGAGCAAGCGGATAACCTCTAAATTAATTGAGAATAACATTCAGGCCAAAAACAAAAAACACTTATTATAGGATACCTATTTATTTATTTTATTTTATTTATATCCGTTTAAGTATCGAATAAATTACGTTCTATTTTCTTTAAATTTTGCCATGATTAGTTGCTTGACGACTGTTGTCATTATGATATAGTGTGATTTTTGTGTTGTCGCATTTACTATGATTGCTAATAATTTAAAAAGATTAGTAGATTGATCAAAGTTGCTTATGATATGTATGTGTTGCCTAGACGAAAGTAATCAGGTGTGAATAGATCACCCTGTATTTGTAATATATTTAGTTATATACCTAGTCTGGATTCGCAACGGGGCGGCGTGGTTTATAATAATTGTTTATTGCCCAACAGAATACTTCCATTTACAGAGCAAGATGAGAGAGAAATGTTGTTACCTCGGTGGGAATCGAAAGCACACCTCTCACTTTCCGGGCAAGCATCCAGACCACTAGATCACGAGGCGACTTATCTTTCGCCGCTTACCGACGTGTTATTCTGCCGCCACAAGTAGTACAGATTTAAATACAGAAATTAGCGTTTTTGTATCAGGTAACTATTAGAGTACTGTTGCCACCTTGTATGTCATACAATTTAGAGGAACTTTGTTTATATATTGAGTGACAAAAGTGAAAAACACAAATAAGGAATAGCGATTTTGTAATGAAATTTTATACACAGGGTAAAGAATTTCAGAATAAGAATTGATTAGAATTTTAGTGTTATCGATCCAGTAGTTTAAAGAAAAACATGTTTTTTCTTCTACACTGAAGAAGTACAATTATTAGATGATATCATCAATATCATTCTGGGGTATTTCATCCTATCCCAGCTACACTTGGTGCCGAAATCACATCCCAAACATTTTCGATTGGACGGCCAGGGAGCAGATTGACTTCAACTTCTTCACAGCTTGGAGTAGATGAGTATTCGCATTTTCTATAGCAAAACATATATTATGCGTAAGCGGTAGGTTTTTTTATTTTGATATGGCACCCATCAATAGTTCCTTTTTTTATACCATTTGTATCTTTAAATCTTTTACGTATCTACAGTTTTCCGACAAAAAATTTCAAACATCACTTTTCTGTCATGTCAAAAATTTTAATGTAGTCTGCTTTATTGTCACTATTTCGGACAGCTGGAATGTCAAACTTTCAAAATTCCAGTTTACGCTACAGCTACATTCATGTAAGTGTCAAATGTAAAAGTTAAAAATGACTGTCAAATATTTAGGTTAGAAACATCTAAAGGTTGCGTTACACTATCTGACGACTGAATGACATTGACGTCTGAAATTTTTTGGCGGCAACTGTATTTTTCGTTTGATTATTTGGCCATTTTATTTATTGCTTGCTAATAGAAACTAATAAGTAGTGCATTATTTTAGATACAATTCTGTGTGGAGAACTTCTTGCCACATTAAATTTATCGGATGTTTGATGAAATGTTCCGCAATTACTCAGGTACTAAATTGTCATATATAATTTTCCAAGTGCGAGAAAATTAGTTGATAATTTTTCGAGAAAGAGGGGAATTCGGTTAGAGAATTGCATGATGATATTTTTGTAATTGAATTGAAATTAAAAAGTTGGTTTTGACTGCGGTTACCATGTTTACTTTTTTCCTGTTTTTCGCCGTATTGTCAACGGTAGAAATAATGAATAAGCGATTTAGTGATAAATCTTTATCAGATATTGGGAATAGTATTGTAAGCAGTGTACCGCAGAATACAAGAAAATCACATTCTTCTGTGTGGAGTCAGTTTGAAAACTTTTACTCTGAACGGAATTATATTTTGCAAGCAAGTACTACACCTGAAGAAATCAGCAATATCTTAATAGATTATGCATATAACATGAAGAAAGTCGATGGATCAGACTACAAAAAAGCTGTGTGGAAACGATGTGGAATGTGACTGCAAAACTTGTCCACGAAAAGTTTTTCAACGAATATCAAATTTTTATTAATCCATTCAATGATTTATGTTTCAAAAAAGCCCGAAATGCTCGAGACGCCAAACGTATAAAAGGAAAGTTAGTTCTGTAGCACTAACAGAAGAAGAATTATTGAAAATCAAGAATTTGTATTTAGAAGAAAATCCTTATGAATTGCAAAAAAAAAACATAGTACTAGATCGACAGTTGTTTCACATCTCGTGAAAGCCGGAATTAGTGAACATCAGCTTGTAGGTAAGCGAAGAAAAATGTTGCTTCTCCGGTGAGAATCGAACCGCATGTTTACCGCTTGCCGGGCGAGTGCCCTTACCACTAGACTACGGAGGAGCTTATCTTTCCTCGCTTACTACTACGTATTATTGTGTCGCCACAAGCTCATTAAAATAACGGATTATACGAACACAACGTCGCTAAAACCTTATCTTAAAGTGGACCAGGAACATCATCAACAAATTGTGGATCATATGCAGGGTCGCACTGCTACACAAAATGCTATTGTGACAAGCGGAACTTTTTCTTCTGAGGGTGCAAGATTGGAAAGTAACGAGACAGGCAACAAAATTGTCTACAATAACTGCACATTTCAAGTGACGAGTTGTAATAATGTAAATTTTTAATAAAACTGTAATAAATGTTGTCTAAAACACTTGCAATTTAATTTTTGAAATTTGAATGTTAACTTTGACAGCACTGATAAATTTTTGAAGTTGTCAAAAAATTTTCACTTATTAATTTGAGCTACAAGCGTGTTATCGATGTCAAAAAGGAACCAGAACCTCAAAATTATCAAATAATTCTGTATCACGTGATCAAAATTCTTTTTGTAATAATTTTTGGACGCCCAATCACATAATGTACTGTTACTCGATGCAGTCGAAAGTGTTCTTTAAATTACAAATCATCATATAATGGAAGCAACACTTCTGCAAATCCTTCCATCCGATGCAATATTCTGCGCTTTTGTACCTCATCACCTAATGAATAGGTAGATAAATCTAAAGCTATGTTTATGATTTTATATTCGTATTCGTATTCGTTCACTGTACTCGACTCGCTGACTGAATATTGAATCTGTTCCCGAAGGTGGCCTCTATTTAAAGCCATACATTCCTCTGGATGGATCGCGAACGCCGCTTCAAGGTTTTTCTGGATGCCGCAATCGAGACTTCCGGTAACCCGCTCCAGGCTTGTCTTCATGTGAACGCCGCCCGACCGCTGTTACCAACGATGTGTCATCATCGCCGCACATACTAGAAAAGCCTCGATAAACCCATAGGCGTCGCACCGGGGCGGCGTATGGGTTTATTTCCCAACAGTTTATTGTCTCACGAAAACAAATCCGATATCTTTCAGCAAACAAAACAAATCTTCGTATTGCTCGGAAACCGATATTACCTCGATATTGTACTGTTTTATTAATTTCATCTGGGGTAGCTGATGTCTTCTCTTGTGTTTATTGTCGACTGTTCTTTGCTACCTGTACTACCTGGTTTATTTTCTCTAAAAATTGTAAGTAAACGACTTTCTGAATGAAATTGCCTTTAAGTATCTACTGGATCTTTAAATCCACGAGGACAATCATAACTAAGTCTAATAATCTCACTGGGTTTAATGCTGTGCGTCGCTGTATAGGGTCGAAACATTTGCGTGCCATTGTATATACATGAAATGAATAAACATGCATTGTTCTTAACCCTCTTCGAATAACAGATTTATTTTATCGGTGCAATACTGTACGCACTCCTTTGTTAGTAAATTGTACTATTCTTAGTAACGATGAAAATTATTCCTACTTTTTATCAACTTCAGTGGTATCCGATTGTGCCGCCGGGACACCGGGAAATTTCCCGGTGGGCCTCGAAACAATCTACTTCTTTTTTTTATCCAATTATTTAAATGTTTCACGTATTCTGGATGTTACAATTACAACCGCACTAAATATTCTTAAAGATATAACAGACGCATAAAAAAGTATTTATGTAAATATTAAATAAGAGTATCTTTTTACTTTAGGACTGTAAACTCAGATACAAACAATAGGTCACCCGTTTCCGTCTGTCTGCCTGTCTGCCGTCTGTCCGGATTTTTATTAGACGGATAATTTTCGAAACTATTGAACCAATTGTTAAATTTTGTATGTGTATTACGAATATCGTGCAGATGTCATACATTTTTGTACAGTTATAACATGAACATTATTTTTTGCACCTGCTTAGAAAGAATATCGCAATATAGCAAAACTATTTCAAAAAATTCTAGCCAACATATGAAATTTTAACTGCACAAATAATAATTTTTCAAATCCCCAGCTTGATCCAAACTGTTTTGGTCGGTCTCATTATCTAATATTCTATCAAAATACACGTGAAAATTTGATTTTTAAATGTATAGACAGATACAGAAATTCTCCCAGGAGATTTTTGAAAAAAAAAAAAAATGGAAAAAGCATCTGGGCAGATTTTTATGTTTTTCTTGTGTTCTTCTGTTTGAAAAAAATTAATAATACGCCTTAAAAAACAGAATACTCTGTATAGTTTAAAATAGTTAAGACTTTTTTTTCTATCTAAATACATATTAATGAAATATCGAAAAGCGCACACTTTGTGTTTCACTCTGTATATGACTGTATTTTTCATTATTATATCAGATTTAAATAAAGCTATATATTCTAAATTTAGCACTTGTACTTAAAAAAATATCTAGATAATAAACATCTAAAAAAGTTTATAAACATTAATTAATTGTAAATAATCCATACAATATAAGTATTTATTGCGAAAGAATATTACAATTAACAGAGTCATTTAATAGGGGTTATTGATAGTGCGCGTTTACAAGTATAATAGAAAAATATTCGACATAAATTTACCAAGAAAACATTAAATAAGTAGATTTCGGTTTTGTTTTTAGAAATATTAAGTTAGTTAAAGTTGGTTTTGTCTAGATAGTGCCAACATGGTTGACGAAACGCGTCGACAATTTTGTATTTTTGTACTTTCGTTGTTGAAGGGTAATAAACGTTAGAAACATTAAGTAAATTACAAAAGTTTTTATTGTTAATAACTTTTTTGACTTACCGGTATTCTGCTGTAACTAGACAGCCATATCCACGAGTCACCCCCCGGTGCTGCTCCCTTATTTCCAGTTTGTTGACGAATTAATTCATCCTTTGCTTCCAGTGCGCTCCGTAGTTCCGGGTTAAAAAATTCCACATGAGGCTCATCGCCAGGCGAACTTAACAAATTATAATTTAAATTTCCGGTTGCACTTCGTCTCTTTCTGTTGGAAATGTTTCCAAGTTTCTCATATTCACGTATAATCCGAGAAACTTCTTGTCTGCCGTTTTCATTTCGGATTTCATTTAGAAAATACTGCTGGAAATCTTGTTTAGCCACATAATCACTTCGTATTTCCGAGTTGATCAGTCTATAGACGTAGTGGGCTAAACAGATTTCTGTGAGGAAAATGAAGAAGACGCAACAGATTACGCGGATTGTGTAGCTAGGATTACGTTGGTGATAGGCTAGCCTGGTGGCAGGGTCAATATCAGTCGAATTGGGTTTTGCTTCCATCGCAGACATTTCCGGAAAATGTTTTTCACATCGCGACGAGAAAGAACAGCACGGTCCGAACCCTTCTGCGTGCACAGCCGAACTAACTCAATTTCGAAGAGCGCCGTCCTATCCGCGCGTCGTTTGATAACGTATATATTTCTAAGATGTTTTATGCATTAAGTGTACTGCTGAATAAGAAGTGCTCGTATTATTAATCGAAATATGTAAATTTAGCCATCTTATAAAAAAAATCCTATTTAACCTGCCGTAGATATCGAGGTTAAAAGAACTCGTGCGGGCAGCGCAACATGAGACCCTTCTGAAGAAACTTCGTGGGAACTGAGGGGACTGAACTCCACAGTCCTAATTCTCTCGTAATTATGATAACAAAATAATTAGATCAAAACGATTGTAAAGTATCCAGAGGCATATTGTAAGTTTTCTATTACAGGCAGGAAGGGAACATAGATTAAATTAACTTATCAAATTAATTGTGTCGTAAATTTTATACATGAAACCTACTGAGAGGGATTGTTCTTTTTTGTAAAAAAGTAGTTTTTTTTAAAGCACATTAAAATAGTAGTTAGCAGTTAAAAAAGTTCTAACAGGCAATAGGTATTGTAACTTGCAAGTATTGTAAAAGGGTTCATCCGACGAATGTAACTTTCATGTTTTCTTGATGACCCCATAGAGTGCGAAAACGCAGGTTTCTCGTTTCCGTCTGTTTTTCAATTTAAATCATCGCCTAAAAGATCTTTACCTATTGAATAACACTTCTTTGCATTACAAGGGCAGATACAAAAAGTCAGTATTCGGTAACGCAGTTTCTAGCAAAGTGATGCACATTATTTTTGGGGCCCCGTAAAAGTACTATTGTTTAAGATTAAATAAATTCATATTTATAGTCGGTGAGGACCTTCCTTTGCATAGAAACCAATGAAATTGTTAGGTGTCATTTTCTGCGTTCTAGGTTGGAAACAGCTTGTTTTCGAACGATTCTAGAACATAATGTAAACACAATCAGGCCGAATTTCAAACGAACGGTGTCGGTGCTGTGCTCCTCTCCCTGTTAACCAGGTTAAACTAGGTATATCATATAAGGGATACCAAATTATAGCACCATATTCCAACCTAGATCTAATAAGCGCAAAATATAAATTACATAAAGTTCTTATATTTGAAAACTCGCTCCAATTTCTGTAAACAAAACCATACATCCTAAAAGATTTTGCTATTACATCATTTATATGCTTCACAAAACTGAGTTTAGAATCAAACGTAATGCCTAAATCTTTAAAAGTGACGCAACGATGTAACTCAGTATTAGCTATGGTATAAGAAAATATACTAGGATTAAGTTATCTTGAATAAGACACAACGAAACATTTGTCTTGATTAAGAGATAAACGATTACGAATACACCATTGCAGAATAATTTGAATATTAGCTTGAAGTGTCATGCTATCGTTAATATTTTTAATCTCCATAAACAACTCGAGGCCATCAGAAGAAACAATAATGAACCTAAATTCGATCCTTGCGGTAAACCGGAGGTAGGAGAAAGTGGTTGTGATTAAAAGTTACGATATTTAACGACTTGGACTCTGTTCGTTAGATATGAACGGGAAGTTGATCAGGGGGGTGGAAATGCCAAACTATTGTAATTTAGCAATCAAGATATAATGATCAATTTGGTGAAATGCTTTACGAAAATCCGTATAAATAGTGTCAACTTGACCCCTGTTATCAAGACAAATAGAAACATATTGGGAGAAACACGCTAGGTTTGTAATCGTAGATCTTCCCTGAAAAAAAACATGTTGATATATATGATATGAAATTATAGAACTTTAGCAAGGGGTGGGCAAAGATACATGCACAGTCACTCAGTAGGAAACTAGGAGTGCCATCCAGCCCAGCAGTACAAGAGTTCCTTGATTTTTTCAAGGCTAGAAAAACATCATTTTCAGTTAGAGAGTCAATACAGACAAATAGTTGAGTCGATTTGTCAGAAGCAAAAGAGGGACATTGGTCGTCATTAGAGACAATGAATACACTGCTGAAGTAGGTACTCACCAAATGCGTTTACAATTTCTCCTGGTGAAGTAAGTTGTGAGTCATTAAAATGCATCACCCCAGGAATCCTAGTACCCCCTTTTTTAGATTGAACAAACGCCCAAAACGATTTAGATGTGACCTTGATAGATCTGGTCTTTGAATTGTGAGGCAAAAATCTTCCTAGTCTCTGCAATTTAAACTAAGGAACAACAGGATCAGGTTTAATTAAGTCCAAAACACTATTTGCAGCAGATCGATCTAAATCAGCGCGTTGACTGTTGTTCAGGGAACTAGACTGTTCCGGCACTCCAAAGACGATTAAGTTATTCTTGCGTTTTTCTCTCTCCATCACTGCAGCAACTCTCCTCAAATTGGTTGTTAGGTTGATTGATGAGTGATTCTTTCAATGTTGCGACTTGATTCTCCAAATAATCTCTCAATTGGTTACGTGAAGCTAGAAAATCAGTCTGTATTGAAGTGATTAATGCCTTGACATCCTTGAATTGAGCCATGTTTGCATTACACACATTACAAACAACCTTTATAGCTTTTGATTTTGAGCGCGTTCTTATGGTGTCAGAGTCAGAAAGGCCAATGCAAGAACTATGCAATTATCCCTGATATAAAGAAAATGAAGTTTCTCTCATTCAAGATGGATGGCTCCTATCCCCGTAGAGGCACTGATATGAACTTAACGCCATGCAGTTCTTTTCGTCTAGACATAAATTACAGTGTGGTAAATTTTTGATTAAACTGCTTCATAATAAAATCGACTGCTCTATTTTACTCTCTAAAATACAGTTTCATGTTCCACGTTTTTCAGCAAGATTTGTTAATAGTTTTAATATTAGCACGTCCCGCACCAATGTTTTAGCTCGAGCGCCTAAACTATGTATTATGTGTAAATGTGCCAATAAACTGATAGATGACTTTTTTCTGTTCTAGTTGCTAGCTTAGTTCAATAATATTAACTGGATACTTACTTACATTTCTTTTTCAAAATTTTTAATTTGTATTTATTTACTGTTTTATTTATTTTTCTGCTTAAGTTGCTAACTTAGTTTAATGGTATTAACTGGGCACTTATATTTCACTTTTAGAATTTTTGATTTGTATTTATATGTTTAATATTCCTCCTTTTTTGTAATATGCTGTCCTGTAATTGGGTTTAGACGTTGTGTTCACTCCGTTGTCATGGAAACCGTACCTTTAGTCGCTGCATTTGGCTAAAATCGGGGCATATTTGACACAGTGTCCGCTGATAGTAATTCAACTACGGAAGCTAATTTTCATCTGTACCAGTGAAATTGTTTGGTTTTAAATGAAAATAATGAATTCAGTTGAATATTTAATCAAAAATTGTTCTGTGTCTTAAGACCATAAAATTGTAGTGAAAAATTTAAGGAGAGCCACTCGCGATTTATTTATAAAAGAAGTGTTCATTGCAAAGAGAGAGACTATCATAGATATTCTAGTAGACGTAGACGTATGATAATTTTTTTTGGATATGTGGCTGTGCAAGTAAACGTAGAATAGTACAAACTGCGTAACTGTTTTGTTTGAAAATATGGTTGAGTTGCAAGAACGAATTGGACAAGTACCTCCGAAATGTTAGAACGCGTGAGGTGTTTAATTGTGAGCAGAGGTTGGTCACATCCTTAGATCATATCGAAAATCTTCTACAGATGATTTCGTTTTTTGTTGGAAAATAGTAACCAGTGATTTAAAACGTCTTGTGATTATTTATATAACAATGAAACTGACGTTTCGAAAAGAAAAGTGAACTTGGATTTATAGCATTTTGAGAATGAACTTTTGTATGTTGGGGCGCCTATAAGAAAGGGGTAAGCTCGTCATTTAAGCTGAATCACCCTGTATGTTTAACGGACTCTGATAGATAATTAAATTACGATTACAGTGATATGCAACACTTTCAGCTAAAGGAAATTAAAATTTACAAAGATAAAAAAAAAGAAAGTTGAGAGAATATAACTACTTTTGAAAGAGATCGTGTTGGTTATAAAATATAATAAATTCATTTTTTTTTAATATTTTTTGGTTTAACCTCTCGTCTGGCTTGTTTCCCTGAAAGGACCAATGGTTCAAAGAATCAGACTTACACAGTTCATGTTATAAAATGCTTTATATATTTAGAACAATCTAAACTCAGGAAAAATAAATCAAATTAAAAATCTAAATCGAATATAAAATGTTCTTGCATGTGCTCAACACCAACTTCGATATTACGTTCTCCGTTATATAAAGTAGAAAATAAGTAATTAAACAACAAATAAGTTCTCCATTACATGTGTAACACAAAACAAAATATGTTTTACTATTAAAGTGTATTTCAGAATTGCATTTGCCTAAGCCATAAATCGGTGTGATTGGTGATTGCAAACCAACAATAATTATCACTCAGTAAGTAAGCTCCTACCGTGCTTCTTTTGTTAAAAAACAAGCTTTTCCCTTCTTTTGGCAGGTAAGTGTTGAATCTAAGGTTGTCCTTGTCTTTTAGTACAGGGCAAGTGAGATGAAGCAAGAAAACTATAGTGCTCTTTCAGTATGGTTGTACATATGATGCAGTGATTCACTCAGCGGTTAGTGCAGTGGCGTTAAAAATGGTGAAGTACTGCATTTGTATGCACAAGAAGAATTGAAACAGCAGTTTTTTTTTTTAAAGGCAACCTATTTCTTATATCATATTTGTTGCAAAATTACTGTGAGTAAAAACATTTGCATCTATAATGTGGGCTTTGTAAATATTTTCAACCGGGGCGGCGACCGGCTACGTAAGTAAATAAACTCCCCCTCACCCTCTGTCGTTTTGCTGCATCATTGTTTGACACCCACCACTGGTTTTAACCCCCCTTTGGATTCTGGTAGGGGTCTGATACACACATAGGACACATCATCACCATCCACCATCACTGCCTCTGTCAGTTATTCCATGTGCCGTATATGCTCAGGTTCAGCTCTCGAGTCTCGACAAAACAAATTTTGAGAAAAATGGAAATGATGGTAAGCAGTTTTGTTTCTCCGTTGCAGTAAAATATAAATAAGTGTTTTTATATGTTAGTTACAGCTACAAAAAGAGTTCGACATGGCTATCAGTGAACGGCGCTACGAATTATTCAAAAGTCTTGTCGAAACAAACCTTCACATTTTGTATACAGCGGATGCTGATTTTGCAAGTAAGCTAGTTTTGGACACCGTTAAATATGAAAGGTAAGACTAAAGCTGTATTTTTTGGTGGTAACTCCCATTTACAGTAGAGTTACACACGCTATATAAGTTTTGCGTGCATGAATTTATAAAATTTCCTGAATCCAAAGTCATCTGGAAATACAAACAACTGTGTACGCGGCACTTAAATAAACTCTGACGGAATTCACAAAAGTTTATTAGTGTATTAAACCATCAATGGTATGACAATGATTACATTATTACATACCGAATTTGAGCTTTGGTTTCTGGGAATAAGTGTTTTAAACTTCGTGTTTTCTCAATCGATTGCAGTTGGTTGAACACGAAAATGTACGTGTTCTTCATTTTTTAAACTTTAATTACTACACAATTCAAATATTCCAAATAACAGGAGGCTGATGAAAGGTGTTAAGAACCGTTTTTTTGTTGTTATAAACATTAAACATCTTTAATTAAATAAGCAGTTAAAATTATACTTTTTTGAGTAAATTAGCTAGCAAAAGAATCAAAGTTTTTTTAAAAATTAAAATAAATAAATAAATAAATTAGCGGCAGTGCCATTTAACTATTGGACGACAACGAAAGACTTCAACAAAATTGCTATAACTTCAAAATCTGGGAGACAGATAAGAACAAATAATTTTATTGATTGTTCTATAGTACGATTTTACCTTAAAATTTTATCCTGCATTTGTCAACATCGAATTGGTGGTAATATTATTCATAAAATAATTTTATAAAAATATAAATATATTTGATCAATTTGCATTCCGTTTTCAAATTTCAAAATTTTTGCTCTTTCTGACAAAAACAAATGTCAGTCACAGCAAACATCTGAAAAAGGCAATAAAAAATAATTAGGACAAAAAACTGTTTTAAAACAATTAAAACAAACGACTAACTTATTTTCATTTCAGGAAAGAAATGTTCGACCACCTGCTCCTCTTCGCAACTCCCGCTCAACTCTCCTGTGCTTTAAAATCTTTGGACCTCGATGAATGGTTAGACCCACATTTTCTCTATGGTTTAATCAGAAACGGAGCCTCTTTGGCCGGTCTTCGCTTCGTGAACTTTCCAGGCTGTTATGCCACACACATCAATATTATAAAATTCTGCCTCGATCATGGATTGGACCCAAACTTTATCAATGCATCGGGTAAAACCCTTTTTTACCTTATTTTGGAAGCATTTCATTTCACAAGCAAGGACGACGATTCCTTGGACGAGATGACAGCTATGTTACTATATTATGGCGCAGATCCGTCACTAGAAAGATGTAATGAATATGTTTTACATAATGCCTTGGATTTCGTTTTTGAGTACAGCTACGCTAAAGTGTCAGACTTCGTGTTCGAGCAGTTGTTTTTGTACACGTTTGATGATGCACACTTTTCCAAGGAGATTAGTCTTCTGGCGTTCTTCAAACTTATCAACAACCGACACTACATAAAACCGTCTAAAAACAACAGCGACATCAAAATTCTTCTGATCGACAGATTAATGGATTTTGATATTAAATTCGTGGTAAACGAGGATGATAATTGTAGATTTTTCCTAGACACTTTGATCCGTAGGAGTTTCGATTTTTTCGAAGTTCTGGTGGAGCGATGTCCACAGGCTGTTGGATTGGCGCTGGAAACAGGAGAGATGTTTGACTTCATTTTTGATCCCGTGTCTAATTTTATTAAAAGGATGCAGTATCTGATGTATTCGACGAACCATTGCTACTTATTTAATTGTGTCGTAGATTTTTGCAAAAATGCGAACGGCAGCTTTGTTTGTGAATTTGGAAGTTCGGAGCTAGAAGTAACATGGTTAATTTTGTTTATGGTGGAATATGGTATGCACTGTACGGATGAAATGTGCCACGTTATCTACAGAAGATTCGGCTATTGTGTACTATTTAGAACATTACTTCACCTAGGCTTACAACAAGAATCAATTCCATTTCATCCTATAAGTCACTGTTATGATAAAGTCATAATGGTCTCATTCATTATTGACATTGATTTATGCATTGAAACTTTCGCCGCATTACTTAAAAAAAACCTATGGTTTCAACGATATAGATTTCCGGAATGGTTAGTAACACCGTGTGGTCGGTTACTCGCTGATGGTGCAATGTGCCTATTAAATTTTTTTGCCAACGCTGTATTGACAAACGCCCTATTGAGCACACCAAAATTGCCACAAATTGTTGCAAAGAAGATTGCACTTCTACCAAAAGTGCCTTTGCTGCAACAGCTGGCTAGGGACGCTGCCAGAAAATATATCATTAACAGATTTCATGTGATGACAAGCAAGGAATTTTATTCGTTGGTGAATGCACTTCCTATAGGTGTAGGCTATAAAAAAATCATCACATTTGAAAAACCTCTATATGATGTGGATGTGTCCAGTAAAGACAATGACTGTGAAAGAGAGAAAATTATGAGGAGGAGGCATAATAGGAGTGACAGTGAAGGTGATGATCTTGAGTATTGGGATTTGTTTGATGATGTAATATAGGTAGCATTTTATAAATTGTAAGTAAATTTAATTTTTCTGAACTACGCAAATTCTACTGATGCTTAATTTTCAGTAAAGCAAAAATGGACAATTAGAAGGTCACCACTTCTGTGAGCCTGTATACCATGTGTGTGTCCGCCGATGACGATGACAATGACTGTGAAACCAAAGAAGAATTAATATAGTATTTAAGATTTTGTAAGTTTTTTAATGCGCACATTTTAGAAGTCATTATCTAGACAAAACTAGTGTATCAAGATAATATAGAAATAAGGGTCCAGCAAACGAGGGAATAGATTTTTATTGCTGGATCGTTTTTTCCAATGCAGTACACTGTCAGCCTGACATTATTGTTTGACAATCGCCGAATTTTGACTTAATAATATGTCTTAAATTAAATGTGGGTGCGAATTGAAATGTCACATTAATTTTTTTTTAATGATAATCCCAAATTAAACAACATAATTAAGCTAATACATTTTTACTTATTTCCATAATCATGCGTAAGTTTAGTAGAGGGGTTTTATAAATTATTCTAAGGGTGTAGTTGGCCATGGATTTCAAAAATTCTGCTTGCAGTCGTTCTCGTGGAAGATCTTCAATGTATGAACAAGTTGTTGATGATTTGAGACGACTCGAGCAGAATCCGCAAATATCTTCGACAAGATTGTTTCAGCAGTCAGGATTTCCTGTTGCAACATGAAATTGAACATTGGATCCAAAGCATTGAGGAAAGGATGTTACAGAATATTTTTGAAATTCAAAAGAGAGTGAACATGTGCCTTGAACAAAATGGTGATCATTTTCAACATTTACTGTGACTTTTAATCACAAACAAATTTGTTTGTTTTTCAGTGGCGGCTCGTGGTGATTTTTGATGGGTGGGCAAAGCATTATAGGTAGGTTATAACATGTATGAAAAAAAATATATACATATATATAATTAATCACTTTTGTGAGAACGTGTTTTTGTTTTGGTGCTGCATATCAATCAATATAATATAACAAATATTTTATGTATATAACATATATATTATTTTATAAATGTTACTTACAATGTCGGTCAGCAAGAACCAACGAGAACGTCGAAGACTCTTGCTAGAAGAGGAACGAGGAGCAAAAAAAAGGTTCAGCACATAAATAGATTTGTTAGGTGTTTATAGAACTATAAACTCAAATAATGATCCTAACATGTAAAGATTCTGAAATAACATGACGAGAAAACATTAAATTTTAAACCTTTGGGATAAGCTACACTTAGAAAAAGCAGCAATTTGGAAAATTATTGTAAAAGCAAAATTAAAAATACCAAATGAAAAATAATAAATTCTCAAAATACTAGCAAAGTTAACAATAACAAATAAAATAAAAATAATTCCAAAATAATCGTTCTGAAGACCACTAATTACCAAAGACTCCTCCGAAAAACTTTTTAAATTTATCATCAAATTTACTTTAAGAGAACTTTGCGATTCATCTTGTCCCCGAAATGTATGTTTTTGTGTAGCCAAGAAAATTATCATATCGAATAAACGCCGAATTTAAGAGAATTTTCTATAGTTTCACTTCGTTTTCCAAGTAATTTTCGTTTATTCAGATTGGTCATGTTTTTGTAAAGCAGTAGCGATATATTTTATATCGCTCTTCTTGTGGAATTCTAAAGTGTTCGTAATTTAATTTTATGTTAAATAGCAGATAATTCCAACAGTTTTGTTTGTTGTTTCACTACCGATCAACCAATAGGTAGGTAATATTTATTGTCCGAACTTTGATTAAAGCCTTTATTACTGCCACGAGAGTTTGTGATGACCAATTGTTTCATTTCGGGACATGATCTTAATTTATAAACAAATAATTCATAAATATCAAGTTCCATACTACTGAATTTATTTATTAAAAACAAAAACTCAATGTCTTTAATGCCTTCTTTACCACCTCTCTAATATTATTTGCACAGCTTACAGTAGGATTTGCCATAAAAAAAATTGCTAGAAAGTACCTACTTTGGTAGCCGCCTAACTATTTGGTAATTTGAATAAGCTACATTTTATAATTAAATGCACTATCCACAATGCAGTTTCTGATCTGATGAATTCAATTGAGTCAGAAAATTGAGTCGTGTCTCCGACGAGAACGAACCATGCCGAGTGCTTCCGATTTTCAGGGTGGATTTGCCCACCCATGCTAGAACGAACGCGTAACAAACCTGTGCGGACAGTCTGAATTAAATAATAAATTAAGCGTATATTTAACTTTTGTTGACTCTGCTACAGTTATATTTATGAAACAAAAATGCATATGTAATAATAAAAAAATACACATGTCAGATACGTACTGCAATAATAAATGTATTACTTATTCTCATCATTGGTTATTCGTATTTTTAAATTTATAATTCATTATAAAGTTTACACGGTGTCATAATACAAGAATATGGTTATTACAAATTTTCATTTGATATGAAAAAGTATTTATTAATTATTATGGTGTTGCTCTTTTCTATTACAATAGTATTCAAGAATTTTCGCATAACATTATTTTCCTTACTACCTTACCCATATTTCAATAGAGTAATAAAAATAATTACCTCTATACTTTTACAATACAGAAGAAATAAAAAAATCGAAATTAATTTATTGAATCCTTGAATCGAATATCGAGAGATCCGATTCTGCAGCGTTTGAGATATACGTTGAGGCCAGGGCGTCCTGGCCCGCTTGAAGCAAGAAAGCACGGATATGCAAAGACGCGCGTTTCGAATTCTTTACTCTCAATTACGTACATAGAAAACCGAACGTATGTCGTTGCTTACAAACAAGAGGGTGGACCAGGGTGGACTAGCCCATCCTCACATGAACCGTATAACGCCGAGATCTGACGCTGCAATTTCTCAGTTGCGGAAACTGCGGGATGTAATGAAGAAAATCCGTTGGCTTAAATGATGTTTACGACAATAATTATTTGTGTATACATATAGAATATTTTAAAAAAGAAAAAAAATCAATATTTTACTTCGTATCATAAACAATCAAATAGGGTGGGCATTGCCCACCCTGCCCACCCCGAGGAGCCGCCACTGTTGTTTTTATTGTAATAAATTAGTTTTATTTTCAAACGTCATATAACTGACACTTATATGACGCTCTTACCGGGGTTTAAGTGTCATTTCTATGACACCGTGTTTGAGCGGCGCATAAGTACTACTTATACTCCGCCGGAGTATAAATATGTGAAAATCATAGTGGTTGTCAACCATAGTAACCATGGTAAGTGAAATCAAGGCAATTCCCTAATGCAGCAAGAAGATGGGAAATAATCATTTCAAAAGAAGATTAATCGTTTGAAAATAAAATATTGTATTTCATTCGGAGTTTAAGTGGCTTTATGTGACTCGTATGGACTTAATTCGCCTCGCTATTGATCGGCGTTTAATCGTCCATACTCCGTCACCTAAAGTATCACTTAAACTCCTAATAAAATAAATATATATTATTTTTTAATAAGATATGAGGAATTTAGGCAACCAGTTATGCAGATGCGTGTGGTATCTGTCGTGAGTCTTTGGACATTTAGTAGGGCCGAAAACTGAGAGGTGGCACGTGTTCATGACTTCGATCCTATAATCATTTATAGAAATATTGTAAAACACTTAGACTCTGACGGAGTATAAATAGAATACGTTTATGTGAAAATCATGGTGATTATCAACCACAGTAACCAGTGATTAGAACAATTACTTTTAAAAAGTAGTGCATTACAATTACTCATTACTTTTAAAAAGTAATGCATTAGGTACTCTAACAATTCCTTTTTGCACTTTGAAAAATTTGATGAGACACAATTTTAGATATTTGTTGTATGGGTCCAAGGGGTCAAGAAAAAACGTGTTGCAATAAAAAAGGTAGTGAGTGATTTATTTTACTAATGCATTTGTCATATATTCACATCAGTAGATAAAATAAAACAAATAAATACTTCACGCAAGAGGACTACATCCAAAATTTAAATTCAATGACAACTGACATTCAAAATTTTTGTTAGCCAAGACATGACGCTTTGTCTCAAAAACACCCGAGCGAACAGTAAACATCCTTTCCACTGCGGTGGTAGATGGATTTGTTGTGTTGTATTTTATAAACGTGTCTCTAAAACAGGGAGCACTTTGATTCAGTAGATCTAATTGTCTTTTTTAATTCTTTAAAAAATTGTCAAAATGTGTTTTTAGCAAATCTTGATCTGAGGGATGTAAGGATCCAATTCGAATTTTTAAATTTCAAATGAATTTCGCGCGCAAGAAACAGTTGGTGAGAAGAAGAAAAGAAGGTTGGCAACCAACCCCAAAGAAACAGACATGCGCAAATGTTACGGTGTTTTTGTCTCGTGTAAGATCACCCACTTCGCTTTGATCGCTTGGAGAGAACGGTCGACTTCTTTTCGAGCGCTTCGAGCAACAGGTTGTATTTTTAATTGTGAATTATTCTGTGCCTTTTGCTGTTGTGTTTTGTTTTTCCAGTGTTGATCTGTTCCATTGGAAAACCTAGTAGGCCCCGTTGAGCCACTGGGTGTTCCTGATTTCTCATCGTTCTTACGACGAGGTTTTTGTGTTCCTGTTGGCGGTAAGCCGTGTCGAAATCTTCGCATCTTTGGAGAGGTATGTTTTGAACACGTTTTCGACTGGGACCTGTTTCGCCGCGAGTTTCAAGCCCCGACGATACTTCTGACCTCGTGACACTTCGACGCGTGCGTTTTTTTTTTTCCACTAATCTCGTTTTTTTTTTCTTTCATTTAAAATCCATCGCAGTAGGGCTTTACAGGAAGTGATTTCTAGTTCGGGCCATGCTTTATTTAGCTATATTTGTGAAATCTGTATTTTGGATGGCGGCAAACGAGTTGTTATTTTCACCGTTCTTTGTTCAGGCAGCGGCCATTTTGAAGCGTCCATTTGTTTCTTTTAAACGAGCACATGTTTTAACTGAATCTATTGAACGAATTAACAACATTGTGGGTCATGGGGGGACGTGCCTTCTATTCCTTTTATTTAGCCCATCGTTTATACAACGCCACAGGATTCATCGTATTTTTGCATCGCATATTTTCGACGCCTATTATTTGGAATGACGAATTCGTCCAACGCCATTTTGCAACTGCAGATTGTCTGCCATG